CAACCTTTGGTGAAAAATCAAAAATTTTCAAAAATATTCAAGAATTCAAAAAACCGAATTTTTAAAAATTCAACATTTTTTCTTCTTTTTTATGGCATTTAGCTTCAATATTTTTGTGCTCTTCAAAAATACTTTACTTATTTAAAAATATCCTTTCTTTGGTAAAAAATCAAAAATTTTCAAAAAATATCAAAAATTCGAAAAACCAAATTTCTTAAAATTCAACATTTTTTCTTCTTTTTTATTGCATTTAGCTTCAATATTTTTGTGCTCTTAAAAAATTCTTTACTTATTTTATTTTCTCCAACATTTAGTGAAAAATCAAAAATTTTTAAAAATATTCAAGAATTCAAAAAACCGAATTTTTAAAAATTCAACATTTTTTCTTCTTTTTTATGGCATTTAGCTTCAATATTTTTGTGCTCTTTAAAAATACTTTACTTAGTTTATTTTCTCCAACCTTTGGTGAAAAATCAAAAATTATCAAAAATATTCAAAAATTCGAAAAACAGAAATTTTGAAAATTCAACATTTTTTCTTCTTTTTTATTGCATTTAGCTTCAATAATTTTGTGCTCTTGAAAAATACTTTACTTATTTTATTTTCTCCAACCTTTGGTAAAAAATCTAAAATTATCCAAAATTATCAAAAAAATCGACAAAAATGAATGGCCCGGAATTTGAAATTTTGGAAATATATTTTTGAAATCGCTAAAAAGATTAGCCAATTAAAATAAAAAATATTGCACAATAGAAGAAATATTGTCAAAATAGTTTTTAAAAAAATGGAGGCGACAAAATTTAAAATGCCCGGAATTTGAAATTTTGAAAAAATATTTTTGAAATTGCTAAATAATTAGACAATTAAAATAGAAAATATTCGACAACAAAAGAAATATTGTTAAAATAGTTTTAAAAAAAATGAAGCTGAAAAAAATAAATTGCCCGGAATTTGAAATTTTGGAAAAATATTTTTTCAAATGGCTAAATAAATTAGACAATTAAAATAAAAAATTTTGGCAAAATTCGTTAAAAATGAAGATGACTGAAAAATAATAATATCTCGAAATAAAAATATATAAATATTAGAGAAAGAAAAAAAAAGAAGAAGAGAAAAAGAGAAAGAGAGAGGAAAGATTTTAAGCACTTTTCTAAAAATATAATGCGCCGGGCGCAGAAAAGAAAAATGTAAAGCGCTCTCTCGGCCTTAGGTATGCAAAAGGCCGCGTTACTGTAATGATATTCCGGCAGATAGTGCGTCGTGCTCTTATCTCCTTTAAACGGTCCCACGCTTAAATAAAGGTAGATACGATGTTACTTCCTACGCGGTTTTGTCAACGACAACATACAACGACAACGACAACGTGTCCGCAACAGAGAGAAGATATGTATGTCACGCCGATTTCGCTCATCATGCCACAAGCGTTTCTTCGCAAAAAAAAATATATTTTATTCATGTCCGGAGTTCCCGATTCCAGGTACATGGAACACGCACGATTTTTGGAATCAAGATTAAGAAGCACAATAAAAAACCAAAAAAAAAAAAAAAAAAAAAGAATTTCTATTCCCATCTCGTCCTATATAGAGAGATCTATACGAAATCGTGACAGAGGGAAAAAGAGGGACAGAAAACGTAATAAAAAAAAAGTTATTCAATCTTGATAATATAATCTCATAAAGATGATAAAAAAAAAAAATTGTGAAATTTCGAAAAAATTTATTTTTGTACTTTTAAAATATTATTTTAAGAAAAATTTACAAATATTTCCCCCCGATTACCCTGATGGTTTCTTTCCCCCCCCCTCTCCCCTTACGTCTCTTCTTGCCCGGAATTTTGTATTTGCAAAAAGTTTTTTTTTTAAATTAATTTTATATTTGTTATTGAAAATAGGAAAAAAGAATTAAATGTCGAAATTTATCAAAATAATTGTCTGAAAATAAATTGTCCGGAGTTCTCTTTTCCTCTGCCCTTTTTTGCCCGGGATTTTGTATTTTTAAAATTATTTCAAAATTAATTAAATATTTTTTAAAAAGACATGAAAAAACAATTAAATGGCGAAATTTATTAAAAATAATTGCCCGAAGTTCCCTTCCCTCCCTTTTTGCCCTGAATTTTGAATATTTTAACATTTCTTTTAAAATTAATTTTAACAAACAAAGAAAGATACGTAAAAAAAATAACGAGATTTATTAAAAAAAATTGCCCAGAAAAAAATTCCTGATGTCTCTTGCCCTCCTTACTCCTTTTTGCCCGGTTTTTTGAATTTTGAATTTTTTTTTTCAATCTTAATTTAATGTTTGTTAAAGAGATATGTAAAAACAATTAAATATCGAGATTTTTAAAAACAAATGCCCAAAGTTCCCTTCCCTCGCTTTTTGCCGTTTTTTTTTCCTGAAATTTTGATTTTTCAAAATTTTTTCAAAATCAACTTATATTTATTAAGAAGACAACGAAGAAACAATTAAATGACGATATTTATTAAAATAAGAAATAATTGTCCAAAGTTCATTTTCCTCATTTGCCTCTTTTTGCCCGGAATTTTGGATTTTCAAAATTTTTTTTCAAACATAATGTTACATTTGTTTAAAACACAGGAAAAACAATTAAATGTCGAGATTTACCAAAATAATTGCCTGGGAATAAAAATTTTTTTCCCTTTTCCTCTGCCCTTTATTGCCCGGGATTTTGTATTTTGAAAATTATTTTAAAATTAATTTTATATTTTATAGAGAGATGCGAAAAAACAATTAAATGACAAGATTAAGTAATATATTTGCCCGTAAATAAGTTACCTGGTGTTCCCTTCCTCTCTTGCCCCTTTTTGCCCGGAATTTTGAATTTTCAAATATTTTTTAAACATTAATTAAGAAATATGAAAAAAAAAGATACGAAACGTTAATTAAATGACAAGATTTATTGAAATAATTACCGTCGGAAATAAGTTACCCTGATTTTTGGGGTTGAAAATTTTTTTTTATCCCACATGCACAAAAACGGCGCTTTCTGATAGCAGCCGACAGGGAGGAAAGTCATTCATTTCTTCGACCGTATGAAATTGGCGGCCGTGTTCTCCCAAGGGCAAGAAAATTAGCTGTTCACATGCATTTTTCTTGCCCAAGGGAGAAATCGGCCGCCATTTTCATACAAATCGAACAAGTGAATGACTTTTACTCCCTGTCGTCTGCTATCTGAAATCGCCGCTTTTGTGCATTAGGAATAAAAAATATCGTAAGTAACACGAGAATAAAGGCAGCCAATTTCTTTACGATGATTTTTGTGACACTCGTTCCGGTCTCGGGGCGCCTACGGCGCCCTCGACCTCCACTCGTGTCACAAAAATCACCGTAAAGAAATGGCTGCGTTTCTCCTCTTGTTGCTTAATATACTATATTATCCCGGAAATTTAGATAATTTAAAAAAAATTTTTTAAAGTGATATTAAAGGAATAAAAAAAAATAAAGAATAGAGAATAGAGAAATTTTTTGGAAAGAAATGTTATTAAAATGACAGGTTTTCTATTTTGCCCGAAATTTTGAATCCCAAATTTTTAATTTTGCTTTTATCGTAAAAAAAAAATTTTTCGAATTAAGTTTATATTATTTACATTTATATTAACTACAAAACTAAAAAAATCCTAAATATGAAATTTATTAAACAAAAGCAGTTATCATTATAAACTATCTAGATTTAATTTTTATTTGCCCGGAATTATTGAATCCGAATTTTGTTACGTTCATAAAAGTATTTTTGTACTCAATCAATTTTATTACATTTGTGTAATTAGCACACTAAAAAAAAGTAACTCGACTATCAAGTTTCATTAAGATTCTATACCTTTTTACGCTTATTAAAAATTTAGATTTTGCCCGGAAATTTTAATCTACAATTTTTATTTGACAAAGGCGATTTTTAAAAAGACAAAAATGATTAAATTCGTTTGAAAATCGCTACTCGGGGGTTTTTTGGGTCGCTGATTACGAATTCGAGGTTGGTTTTTAAAAATTCAAAATGGCGGATCCAATATGGCGGGTGCTTTTTTAAAAAATCTATTTATTTCGCTCGAAAATCGTCACTCGGGGGTTTTTTGGGTCGCTGATTACGAATTTGAGGTTAGTTTTCAAAAATTCAAAATGGCGGATCCAATATGGCGGCAATATTTTTTTTTAAATGACTGAATTCAGTTGAAACTTGTCACTCGGGGGTTTTTAGGGTCGCTGATCACGAATTTCAAGTCAAATTTTCAAAATTCAAAATGGCGGATCCAATATGGCGGGTGCTTTTTGGGTCGCTGATTACGAATTTGAGGTTAGTTTTCAAAAATTCAAAATGGCGGATCCAATATGGCGTCAATATTTTTTTAAAATTGACTGAATTCAGTTGAAACTTGTCACTCGGGGGTTTTTAGGGTCGCTGATCACGAATTTCAAGTCAAATTTTCAAAATTCAAAATGGCGAATCCAATATGGCGGGTGCTTTTTTTAAAATCTATTTATTTCGCTCGAAACTCGTCACTTGGGGGTTTTTTGGGTCGCTGATTACGAATTTGAGGTTAGTTTTCAAAAATTCAAAATGGCGGATCCAATATGGCGTAAATATTTTTTTAAAATTGACTGAATTCAGTTGAAACTTGTCACTCGGGGGTTTTTTGGGTCGCTGATTACGAATTCGAGGTTGGTTTTTAAAAATTCAAAATGGCGGATCCAATATGGCGTAAATATTTTTTTAAAATTGACTGAATTCAGTTGAAACTTGTCACTCGGGGGTTTTTTGGGTCGCTGATTACGAATTCGAGGTTGGTTTTTAAAAATTCAAAATGGCGGATCCAATATGGCGGTTAACTTTAAAAAATGTAATGAAAATCAATTGAAATTCGTTATTTAAGTATTTTTAAGGTTGTTGTTTAATATTAATTATCAATATAATTATAATTTTGTAAATATTAGTTTTAAAATTATTAAAATTGAATAATAAAAGAATTTATTTATTTTTCTGTGTTACAGAATGTACATTCGGAAAACAAATTCGTGAATTGGGTTCAACGTGGCATCCCGATTTGGGACCTCCTTTTGGCGTGATGTTCTGCATAAAATGCGAGTGTGTACCAGTAAGTGATTTCTTTCTATGATTACAATGAGATAATAAAATTAATAATAACCTTGTAATTTAAAAGTAACACTTTTGTAATTAATAATTTATAAATAATTAATAATAAATAAATAATTAATAATAAATAAATAATTGATAATAAATATATAATTAATAATAAATAAACAATTGATAATAAATAAGTAATTCTTAAATAATTAATAATAAATAAGTAATTAATAAATAATTGGTAATCGATAAATAATTTATAATTATTAATTAATTTACACTTAATAGTTAATTATAAATTATTTATTAATTATTAAATAATGGATAATAAATAAATAATTTATAATTATTAATTAATTTACCGCTATTAGTTAATTAAAAATAATTAAGTGATTAAAAGTTATTAAGTAATTAAAAATTATCAAGTAATTAATAATTATTAGGCAATCAATAATTATCAATAAGAAGTAAACAATTATAAAAAGATCGAACCGAAGCAAATGATAAATTAATAAATAATTAAAGTAAATGATAAATAAATTATTAAAATAAATAATAAATAGTTTATAGGAAATAATATTTGTTTCAGAAAATTTAATTATCAAAATTTATAAATTTCCAAACAATACAATAATAATTTAGAAAAAAATTCAATTTTTTTTATACCTAATTACAATTTTAAATTCATTTGATTTAATTAATTTAATAAAATATTAGTATAAAAAATGACTAAAATGGAAAAGAAATTTTTTCAAATTAAAGAAAAGAAGAAGATAATAATATATTTTCACGCCTCACTTGCGATGAGAGATTATACTCGTCTATATATTCTACATAAATCAATTTATAAAATAAAAATAAAAGGGTCTATGTTTTTATTGCCTGTAGATTGAAAAAAAAATGTTTTGATAAATTGATTTAATGAAATCATTAAAATAAATTAATTTAGATCAATGGTGAAGTGATAATTTCAAAACTTCGCACGAAGACCGAATTCCACTCTGATCGCGTAATAATTATCATTTGCATTCAAAGAGTGATACTACTCTTGTGTGTACGTATCAAGAATTCCTCCGTGTTTACACCGACAATGGTCATTAAAAATCTTGACTGGTTTTTATTATTATTATTACTATTAATCTCGCAATTTTTTTTTTTTTTTTTTGAAAAAATTTTTAATTTTCTTTGCTTCTATAGTTAAATGCGTCAAAAATCAAAAAAGAAGAACATTTTGTACCTGATTTGAATTTTTTGCAATTTAATTAATGTAAAAATTATTTTTTTTTAATTTAATATTTAATAATTAAATTATTAATATTAATCTCTCTTATTTTTTTATTTTTAATTTTAATTTAATTTTTTTATTTTTATTATCTTATTAATAATTTGTTTTATTATAATTATTTTTTATTTTCATTTTTACTAATAATATTTTTTAAAAAATTTTTATTATTATTATTTTATTTAAATTTTTACTATTATTTTATTTTTACTATTAATTATCCTTCTTATTAAGTTTAATTAAACAATTACCATTATTAACCTTCTAGTTTTATTATTAACATTGTTTACTATTTACTTACTGTTTTTAATGTCTTTTTTAATTTTTTTTTTAATATTTCTTTTTAAATAAGTTTTTAATATTTTTAGTATCATATTTTTTATTATTTATTACCAGTATTATTTCTTATTTTTTATTGATATTAGGATTTATTAATAAAACTAATATATTATTATAATTTATTATTATTATTAGTAGTATTATTATTATTATTATTACCTATTTATTATTAATTTTTATTTTTATTAAAAAAAATTTTATTAAATTAAATATAAATTAAAATTAAATAATAATAAAATAATGAAAAAATATAAAAAATAGATAAATAACAATAAAAAAAATTTTTTTAATTTAAATATGAAAATTAAAAGAAATATCTAATAAAATTCGAAATTTTTTTCTTTCTAGTTCAACTATATTTCGTTTTAATTTAAAAAAAAACAACGCGCAAAATAAGTGAGCGATAAATTTCTTTTACCTGACAAAATTTAGAAAATATAAAATAATATGAATAATGTGAATGATATTTTTTATTCATAAATTTTTAATTAAATGTCATTAATTGCTTTTTTTTATCAAAAAATTCATTTTAATGCGCATTATTTTTAGTGTTTTTTTAATTATTATTTAATTTAGTGTCAATTTTTTTATTTGTCTTTTTTTTAACATTCAATTTGGTGTCAAAAAGTACAAAAAAAAATAAATAATAAATTTTCCGTGTATTTTTTTTAAAAGTTTTTTCGGGGTTTTTTTTGTGTCAATTAAGTGTTAAAAGCAAAAAAAAGAATATTTTTCTTTTAAAAAACATAGTTATTACAAAATTAATTCACTAATTAATTTTTTTTTTATTTTTCTAAAATTATTTATTTAGATAAAAAAATTTAAAAAATTTTTATTTAATTTTAAACTGATATATTTAAAAATTAATTAAATTTTATTTATTAGAATTATTTTTTGTAAAAAATAAAAAAAGAGAAACAAGTTTTCTAAAAAGAATAAAAGTGGGGGGGGGGGATTTTTTTATTGCTGTTAATTTTTTTAGTATCAATTTTGTGTCAAAAAGTACAAAAAAATACAAATAAATAAAAAATTTTCCGTGTATTTTTTTGAAAGAAGTTTTTTTTGGGGTTTTTTTGATGTCAATTTAGTGTCAAAAGCAAAAAAAAAAAATATTTTTTTTATAAAAAACATTTGTAAAATAAAATTAATTTACTAATTAATTTACTTTCTTCCTTTTAGTGTCAAAACAATTAAGAAATATTTATTATTATTTAATTTTTTTAAAATTATTTATTTAAATAAAAAGTTTTCATTCATTAGTAAAATTATTTTTACGAAAAAGATACAAAAAAAATCAGTTTTCTAAACAAAAAAAGTAGGGGGAGAAATTTTTTTAGTATCAATTTAGTGTCAAAATGTACAAAAAAAATAAAAATAAATAAAAAATTTTCCGCGTATTTTTTTTAAAAAAGTTTTTTGGTTTTTTTGGTGTTAATTTAGTGTCAAAAGCGAGAAAAAAAATATTTTTTTTAAAAACATAAATAATAGGATAAAGTTAATTAATTAACTTAGGTACTTTTTGTTCTTTTTAGTGTCAAAATAATTAAGAAATATTTATTATTTTTTTTTTAATTATATATTTAATTGAAAAATTAAAAAAAATTATTTTTCTTTTTAACTCATAATTTTAAAAATTAAATTAATTTCTATTTAGTAGAATTATTTTTACAAAAAAGAAACAAGTTTCCTAAAAAGAAAAAAAAGGGGGGAGGGAGAAATTTTTTTATTTCAACTTGAATTATTTTCAATCCGATATAAAACAATTGCCTCTGTGTTTTAGTGGTGTGTATCTATGTTTGGAAATCGGGATTATCAGGAGACGGTCACGAGGTTTTTTTTCTTCTCTTCTCTTGTTTTTTTTTTTTTTTTTTTTTTTTTTTGCCGAGTCAATTCAAGTTTTACTAGAGAGACAGAGAGATTACACTCTGAGTTCTCTCCCCTTTAGGAACGAATAAGAGAACTTGCCCGTCTCGCGATCTCTGTTCGTATGAAACTCTCGCACTGTTGGCTTTAGAATCGTTTGTCGTTGATCGTTTGGAATGGCGACGCCCGCCTTATTTTTAGGCTTCGAAGGAACGACATTCGCGCTTTAGTGTGCATAAGAAGCTATTGATAGGTCGTCCTCTTCTCACGGGGGGATAAAAGAGAGAAACAAAAAATAAAAAGAAATGCGAAGAACAAAAAAAATTTTTAAGACACACAAGGAAGAACAAGAAAACAAACGCCAAAGAGGATTTTTATTTTTTCTTTTTTTTTTAGAAGAAGCGCAACGAAGATACTTTGTTGTAAATGTTAACTGGTCTCTCTCTCTCTCTCCCTCCCTCTCTTTTTTCTCTCTTTCTCACTCTCTCTCTCATATTCTCTCTTATTTTCTCTCTCTTTCTTACTTTCCCTTTTAAAGAAAGACGAAAAGAAAGAAAGAGAGAAATCGCTAAAATGTACAAAACGACCGAACGACAAAATTATCTCATACACCACACTCGATAAGATTACAAATGACAAATTATGTGTTTTCCTTTCATTAATTAATTATTTACCAGAGACGATTCAATATAAACAAAAAAACATTCTACTTATTTAATGAACTAGTTTTTTTTAACAAGACAATTAATTTTTATTTATTTCTAATTTTAAAATTGAAAATATCTTTCAAACTTTTATTTATTTTACCCAATATTTCGAATTTAGTAAATTTAATATCAAATTCGTTATCCGAGACCTCAAAAACCCCCGAGTGACAAGTTTCAACTAAATTAAGTAAATTTTTTTTAAAAATTATTGCCGCCATTTTGATTTTTTAAAAACTAACCTCAAATTCGTAATCAGCGACCCCAAAAACCCCCGAGTGACGATTTTCGAGCGAAATAAATAGATTTTTTAAAAAAAGCACCCGCCATATTGGATTCGCCATTTTGAATTTTTAAAAACCAACCTCGAATTCGTAATCAGCGACCCAAAAAATCCCCGAGTGACAAGTTTCAACTGAATTCAGTCAATTTTAAAAAAATATTGACGCCATATTGGATCCGCCATTTTGAATTTTTAAAATCTGACCACAAATTCGTAATCAGCGACCCAAAAAACCCGCGAGTGACAAGTTTCAACTGAATTCAGTCAATTTTAAAAAAATATTGCCGCCATATTGGATCCGCCATTTTGAATTTTAAAAATCTGACCACAAATTCGTTATCAGCGACCCAAAAAACCCCCGAGTGACAAGTTTTAACTGATTTCAGTCATTTTAAAAATTGTTGACACCATATTGGATCCGCCATTTTGAATTTATGAAAACTAACCTCAAATTCGTAATCAGCGACCCCAAAAACCCCCGAGTGACAATTTTCGAGTGAAATAAATAGATTTTTGAAAAAAGCACCCGCCATATTGGATCCGCCATTTTGAATTTTCAAAAACCAACCTCGAATTCGTAATCAGCGACCCAAAAAACCCCTGAGTGACGATTTTCAAACGAATTTAATTATTTTTTGGCCTTTTTTAAAAATCGCCTTTGTTAAATAAAAATTTTGGATTAAAGTTTCCGGGCATAATATAAAATTGACGGTTTTGTTCCAAAAATTCCGGGCAAATTTTTAACAGCTGTAAAAACTTACAGGTTTTTAATGAAACTTGATAGTCGAGTTTTTTTTTGGTGTGATAGTTACGAATGTAATAATATTGATTAAGTACAAAAATACTTTTTATGAATGAAGAAAAATTCGTATTAAAAAATTCCGGGCAAAATAAAAAAAACATCTTGTTTGTTTACAATACTAAACTGTTGTCCAAAGGTTTAGAGTCTCTTATTAAAAATGTAACATAATGATTTTAATTTTTAAATTCTTGTTTTATTTTGTATAGAACAAAAATTCAAAATTTTTTATTCAAAATTTCCGGGCAAAATGTATAGGAAATTTTTGCTTTTGTTTAATAAATTTGGTATTTATGGTAATAACTGTTAGAATCTAAATTCAGTTCAAAAATATTTTTATGAATGAAGCAAAATTCAAAAATCGGAATTTAATAATTTCGGGGCAAAATGTAAAAGCCTTTTTGGACTGGAATGAAAAGTGGTATCTGGGTAGTTTTTTAAAAGTTTTTTATTACAAACGTATCAGTATAAATATTTCTTCAAAAAAACTTCTATAAAGAAATGAAAATTCAAAAATTAGGTTTCAAAAATTCCGGGCAAAATGTAAACACTTTTTGTACTCTAATGATACTTGAAATCTAAATATTTTATTTAGTGTTTTTCATTAGAAATGTAGCAGTTTTAATGTTCTGTCAAAAGAACTTTATTAAGAAAGAAAAATTCAAAAATTGGGTTTTAAAAATTCCGGGCAAAATGTAAAAACCTTTTTCTATTATAATGAAAACTGAAAATTTGTTTCTTTTTAATATTTACTTCCAAGTCTTACAACGTAAGTTCTCTTTTTAAAGAGACAATCATTTATAATCAAGAAAAATTGAAAATTAAAATCCAAAAAACCGGTCAAAATCTAAAAACTATCATTTTAATAAAATTTCTTTCTTAGAATTTCTTTATACTCTATTTCTTATCCTATACTTCAAGATTTTTAACGTCACTTAAAAAAAATTCTAAACAGAATCCAAATTTCCGGGCAAAACCAAAATTTTCTATTCCAAAAATCCGGGCAATTTATTTTCAGGTAAATATTTTAATAAATCTCGTCATTTAATTGTTTTTTCGTAACTTTTTAACAAATATAAAATTAATTTAAATACAAAATTCCGGGCAAAAGGGGGCAAGTGGGGGAAGAGAACTTTGGGCAGTTATTTTAATAAAGCTCGACAATAAATTTGTTTTTCAAGTCTGCAATAACCAAATGTTAAATTTTGTAAAAAATTTAAAAAATTTGAAATTCCGGGCAAAAAGGGGCAGGGAGAAAGAGACCATCGGACACTTATTTCCGGGCAGTTATTTTATTAAATATCGACATTTCATTGTTGTCTTCTTAAAAAATACAAAATTAATTTTGAAAAAAATTTTGATAATTCAAAATTCCGGGCAAAAAAGACAGGAGGAAAGAAACCTCCGGTCAACTTATTTCCAGGCAATTATTTTAATAAATCTTGACATTCAATTATTTTTTTGTGTTTACAATAAAAATATAAAATTATATTTTGTAAAAATTTAAAAAATTTGAAATTCCGGGCAAAAAGGGGCAAAGGAGAAAGAGACCTTCGGACACTTATTTCCGGGCAATTATTTGATTAAATATCGACATTTCATTGTTCTCTTCTTAAAAAATACAAAATTAATTTTGAAAAAATTTTCAAAATTCAAAATTCCGGGCAAAGAAGGAAGGGATGAATTCGGGCATTTACTTCCGGTTAATTATTTTCATTAATCTCGATATTCAATTTTTCTTCCATACCTTTCTAACATATTTGTTATTAAATATGTTAAAATTAATTTTGAAAAACTTTAAATTTTCCGAAATTCCGGGCAAAAAGGGGCAGGGGTGAAGAGACCTTCGGGCAATTATTTTAAGAAATTAAATTGTTTTTTCGTATCTCTTTATCAAATATAAAATTAATTTTGAAAATTTTTTGCAAATTCAAAATTCCGGGCAAAAATGGGCATGAGGGTAGGGATGGAAACTGTCACAGCAAATGGTGAAAGGAGTGTATACAAATATGTATTTTGAAGGGGGTAATGTGGAGTAACAAAAAATAGGGAGGGGTGAGAAGGAAAAATTATAAAAAAGAAGAAAAAAAGCAAGGATGGGAAGGTAAAAACAAAAAAGGGAAATAAAAAAAAACTTCCGCATAGCCCATCACTGGAGGGGGAAACGAAGAAAAAATTTTAATTAACAAATTAAAGAAACAGTGAGTAAATGTGAGAAAGTGAAAAAAAATTATTCTCAATTTAATTTTATTTACTTTTTTTTATTACGGCCATTATAATAAAGGAGTCAATGAGTTTTTTTTTAAAGTATATCTCGTCATCCTCCATTAATAGAGTTTACGAAGTTGTCCCGTTCTAAATAATATTCGTAAAATGATTTTAATATAAAATGTGTGCACATAAATTTGTATATGTAGTTGGACTATAAATGTGAGAGCCGGACTATAAATGATTGTGTCATCAGAATACGATTAGTCTTGATTAAGTCTGCGATGATGATGATGCAATCAATCAACATTTCATCAATTACATAAAATTTACGACTAAAAAAAAAAGATTTACATTTATATCACATATGAATTAATTAATAAATTATATTGTAAATACTTTATGAGTAAGTGTATTTTTTTTTGTTATTTGTAAATTACTTTTTGATTGCAAACGTTTTTTTTTGGGGGGGGGGGATTTATTGTTTACTGGCCTTAAATATTGACCAACATAACCTCAAAAATAGGTAGTGTACGAAAGGTACGAAATTTGACACTGATTTTTTTAAAATTGTAGTAATTTTCGGTGTTTATTGTTCATTGGCCTTAAATTGACAAACATAACCTTAAAAACTATTATTATAAAAGAAGCAAAATTGGACACAAAATTATTCGAAATATTGTAGTAATTTTCGAAATTTATTGACTATTGGCCTTAAATTGACCAACTTAACCTCAAAAACAACTGTAAAAAAATTAGTACAAAAATTGATACTGTATTTTTTAAATTTGTACTGATGTTCGGTTTTTATTGTCCATTGGCCTTAAATTGACAAACATAACCTCAAAACACTATTGTACGAAATGTACGAAAGTCGATACAAGATTATTTAAAATTGTAGCAATTTTAGAAATTTATTGTCCATCGGCCTTTAATTGACAAACATAATGGATTTTATTGTTCATTGGCCTTAATTTGAACGACCTAACCTCCAAAAAGGAATGTACGAAAGGTACGAAATTCGACACAAGATTATTTATTTATTATTAAATTGTAATAATTTTAGAATTTTATTGTCCACTGACCTTAAATTGACAAACATAATGAATTTTCTTGTCCATTGGCCTTAATTTGAACGACATAACCTCCAAAAAGGAATGTACGAATGATACGAAATTCGGCACAAGATTATTTAAAATTGTAGTAATTTTCGGAATTTATTGTCCATTGGCCTTAAATTTACCAACATAACCTCAAAAACTACTGTAAAAAAAGGTACAAAAATTCGACACTAACACTTATGTATTTATTTAAATTTTATTAAATTGTTTTTCTAATTTTTCTTCTTCTTCTACTTTTTACAGATACAAAAGAAGAAGAGAATAATTGCTCGTGTACAATGCAGAAATATTAAAAACGAGTGTCCCAAATTGACGTGCGATGAACCAGTATTACTTCCGGGACGATGTTGTAAATCCTGTCCGAATGACTACAGTAAGTAGAATACAAAAAAGAATTTTTTTTCTTCTTACCTTCTTTTGGAAAAATTGAAAATTTCTTTTCTAATGCCCAACCCTGTGTTCCCCCACTTAATATTTATGATACTTTGGGATATTTTCGATTAATTTAGAATATTTCCGAAATTTGCGTAAAATATTAAGAAGATAGTCAATATGGTGAAAACGCAGACTACCCAACCCTGCTTTTCTGCCTTAGTAGCTTTCGAAATGCGCCAATTATAAAATTCTTATTTTTTCTATGACTACCCAACCCTGCTAGGTGAAATTTTGGATTTAATTTTCAACTATCCAATAAATTATGGAACATATCGAAATTTTATATTGCAGGGTTGGGTAGTAGTAAAAATAAGCGAAATTTTACAATTTTCTATAAACTACCCAACCCTGATAGGTGAAATTTTCTGTTTTATTTTCAACTGCCCAATAATTTATGGAACTTATCGAAATTTTATCTATCAGGGTTGGATAGTTGATAAAGAATAAGCGAAATTTCTACTTTTCCATCAACTACCCAACCCTGCTAGGTGAAATTGTCAGTTTTATTCTGAACTTCTCAATAATTTATGGCAATTATTGAAATTTTATAAAGCAGGGTTGGATAGTTGATAAACAATAGGTGAAATTTCTATTTTTCCATCAACTTCCCAACCCTGCTTGATGTAATATTCCCTTTTTTTGGTCAACTACTAAAAAATTTACTACAGAATTAGGATTTCTTCTAGCAAGGTTGTGGATAGTCGCAAAAAAAATTGAAAATTCGATTAACGGTGCATTTTGATAGTTGCGATTTCAGTCAGCATAGGTGGGTAGTTAACAAAATGTGCCACTCTGGTCAAATTCTCAAATTTCTATTGTAAAAAAAGTCTAAAATCATAATTGTCAAACTTTGTCAACTAACCAACCTTGCATGATGAAGTTTTGTTATTTTTTCACTGATTATCAAAACTGACAAAACAAAATTTTGGAAATTTTATCAGTCAGGGTTGGGTAGTTGAAAACATGTGAGGTAATTGAAAAAAGTCGCATTTAGGAAGTTACACACTATGATTTATATTTTTTATGGTACTTCTACAATTTTTCTTTTCATCATCAGACACGAACAAAAATTGCACTTGCAAAATTTGCAATATGACGGATGGTTTTTACAAAAATCTATTAAATTTGCTTGAAAATTCGTCACTCGGGAGTTTTTAGTGTGTTGCTAATTACGAATTTGAGGCCAGATATCAAAAATCGAAAATGGCGGATGCAATATGGCGGCAACAATTTTTTAAAATGACTGAATTCAGTTGAAACTTGTTACTCGGGGGTTTTTTGGGTCGCTGATTACGAATTCGAGGTTAGTTTTTAAAAATTCAAAATGGCGGATCCAATATGGCGGGTGCTTTTTTAAAAAATCTATTTATTTCGCTCGAAAATCGTCACTCGGGGGTTTTTGGGGTTCCTGATTACGAATTTAAAGTCAGATTTTCAAAATTCAAAATGGCGGATCCAATATGGCGGATACTTTTTTTAAGAATTTGTTTATTTCGCTTGAAAATCGTCACTTGGGGGTTTTTGAGGTCGCCGATTACGAATTTGTGGCCAGATTTTCAAAATTCAAAATGTCGGCTCAAATATGGTGGCAATTATTTTTTAAAATTGACGGAATTCAATTGAAACTTGTCACTCGGGGGTTTTTTGGGTTGCTGATTACGAATTTGATGTTAGTTTCTAAAAATTCAAAATGGAGGATCCAATATGGCGGGTGCTTTTTTAAAAAATCTATTTATTTCGCTCGAAAATCGTCACTTGGGGGTTTTTGGGGTCGCTGATTACGAATTTGATATCAGATTTTTAAAATTCACAAAAACATATCTAAATATTGTATCAAAAAATGGTTTTACTCTTTATTTTAATTTGTTTTTTTTTAAATTATCTATTAAAATAATAAATATTGTAGAAGCGCTATTAAGGTCAAATCCAGCGAATGTAGACCACAGTATAATTTGAATAAAAGAATCATAATAAAATGTTAAATCATAAATAAATTTTTATTATTATTATCATGTTTATTATATCGTTGGCACTGTACTGACTTTACGTTTTGCATATCCGGTCATAATCTATACGAAAATAAATTCTCATTTACCCACATTGCGTATGAGCACATTTATCAAAAGAGAAGAAAAATTCAATTTTTCCAAAAGTGACACTCTCTAAATTTGAATTAGTAAAAATATTTATTAATTTGCATTAGTGACTGACTTTTTGCTTTTTAATTAGTACAGTTTACTAAAAATAAATAGTAATTTCTACTAATTTATCAATAAAATTCACTAATTCAAAAGCAAAGTCAGTCACTAATTCAAACTAATAAATATTTTTTCTAATTTACGTTTTGCTATTGAATTAGTAAATTTTACTAATAAATACTAATTTCTACTAACTTACTAGTAAACTTAACTAATTTATTAGCAAAATGTCAGTCTCTAATCTAAATTAGTGAATATTTTAACTAATGCAAATTTCGAGAGTGGCATCGATGAAGTTATTAGAGAAAAAGAGGACAATTAATTAAAGTAATTAATATAATTAATATAATATATGATATGTAATGTTAAGAGTATATATGTAATTATTTCCTATATGTTAAGAAGCAAGAGAAAAATCGCCTCTATATAAATCGATTTGGATCTAAAAAGGTAAAGAGAAAACAGTCTCTCGCGTAAAGGAGACAAATGTGGATATATATGGGAAGAGAAGAGATGTTGACGTGAGAAGGTAGAAAGAGAGAGAGAGAGAAGAAGAAGAGTTGAGAGGGGAGGGAAAGGATTGCTGTTAAGTGCGCGATGTTATAAAAGACAGAGAGTGAGAGAGAGAGAGAGAGAGAGGGCGGGCGCCAGCAGGCTTTAGCGCCATGGCGCCGACTATATTACCGCACGGCGTCACTTCGATTAGGCTTTGCAATCTAAATGTAAATATTAACATACGTAATGATCCAAGCGCAATATGAGGGAATAAGAATAGAATAGACCAATGGTGTAAATGATAATCAATGGCCTTCGAGAGAGATGCAGGACGATTTTTATTGCTATTAATGCAATTGACCTGCGCTCACAACTTTTATATATATGTATAAAACGATAAAGTCACCAAAGAGTGTGACAACACTCTATATTTGTCCTTCTCTATCACTCTATCTATTTTCTTCACTGTCACTCTTATCTTTTTTTCTTCTCTATCATTCTATCTTTGTCCTTCTCTGTCACTATTTTTGATCCTCTCTACCACTATTTTTGTTCTTCTCTATCACTATTTTTGTTCTTTTCTATCACTATTTTTGTTCTTTTCTATCACTATTTTTGTCCCTTTCTAGCACTATTTTTGTTCTTTTCTATCACTATTTTTGTCCCTTTCTATCACTATTTTTGTTCTTTTCTATCACTATCTTTATTCTTCTCTATATTACTATCTTTGTCCATTTCAATCACTATCTTTATCCTTCTCTATCACTATTTTTCTTCTTTTCTATTACTATGTTTGTCCATTTCTATCACTATCTTTATCCTTCTCTATCACTAAATATTTTTTTCTCTATCTCTCTCTATATTAAAAAAAAGAAAGAAAGAAAAGGAGAAAAAGTAGAATAATAGAAAAAGTGGAAAGAGAAAAAAATAGAAAAAGTAGAAAGAGAGCAAAGGAGTAAAAGTAGAGAGACAAAGTAGAAAAATATGAAAAGTAGGGAAAAAAAGGAGAAAAAGTAGAAAAATATTAGAAAGAGATAAAAATAGAAAAAGTAGAAAAGTAATAAAATAGAAAAAGAGACAAAGTAGAAAAATAGAAAATGTAGAAAGAGAAAGAAGGAGAAAAAGTCGAAAAATAATAAAATAAGAAAGAGAAGAAATAGAAAAAGTAGAAAGAGAGAATAATAAATAGAAAAAAGTAAAAAAAAAGTAGAAAGAGAGAAAAGGAGAAAAAGTTGGAAAATATAAAAAGTAGAAAGAGAAAAAAAGTAGAAAAATAGAAAAGGTAGAAAGAGAAAAAAGGAGAAAAATAATATAATAAGAAGAGAAAGAATAGAAAAAGTAGGAAAAGAGAAGAATAAATAGAAAAAAAATTAGAAAAAGTAGAAAGAGGGAAAATGTAGAAAAACAGAAAATGTAGAAAAAGAAGAAAGGAGAAAAAAGGAAAATAAGAAAGAGAAAAAATAGGAAAAGTAGAAAGAGAGAAGAATAAATAGAAAAAAGTAGAAAAAGTAGAAAGAGAGGAAAGGAGAAAAAGTAGAAAAATAGAAAAGATAGAAAGAGAAAGAAAGAGAAAAAGTAGCAAAATAAGAAAGAGAAAGAATAGAAAAAGTAGAAAGAGAGTAGTATAAATAGAAAAAAGTAGAAAAAGTAGATAGAGAGAAAATGTAGAAAGAGGAAAAAGGAGAATATGTAGACAAATAGTAAAATAAGAAAGAGAAAAAATGGAAAAAGTAGAAAGAGAGAAAAATTGAAAAAGTAGAAAGAGAAAAATGAGCTAAAATAGAAAGAGAGAAAAATAGACAGAGAAAAAAGTAGAAAAAGTAGAAAGAGAGAAAATGTAGAAAAACAGAAAATGTAGAAAGAGAAAAAAGGAGAATAATTAGACAAATAGAAAAATAAGAAAGAGAAAAAATGAAAAAAGTAGAAGGAGAGAAAAATTGAAAAAGTAGAAAGAGAGAAGAATAAATAGAAAAAAAGTAGAAAAAGAGAAAAGAAGAAAAAGTAGAAAAATATTAAAAGTAGAAAGAGAGAAAAAGTAGAAAAATAGAAAAGGTAGTAAGAGAAAGAAGTAGAAAAAGTAGAAAAATAATAAAATAAGAAAGAAAGAATAGAAAAAGTAGAAAGAGAGTAGTATAAATAGAAAAAAGTAGAAAAAGTAGATAGAGAGAAAATGTAGAAAGAGGAAAAAGGAGAATATGTAGACAAATAGTAAAATAAGAAAGAGAAAAAATGGAAAAAGTAGAAA